CATACGAATGAAGGCGAATTGCCGCGAAGTGGAATGAAGACTGTTGGATCGTGCCAAAAGGTGTTCGGTTCACCGTCCTGCGACCCCGATCAACCCGTGCAAAGCTTTTACTGTCTTGTCGTGTTAGACATGATCAAATCCAGAGTCTATACCTTAATAAAGAAGGCAAATGTATATATAAAAATATATTTATGTGCGTCTTTTCTCTTGGCTTAGTATATTTTTTGGGCTATTTCACAAAGTATGGATTCTTGATTTGATGATATCTGCCACAACGGGACACGAAAGTTTAGCACAGATTGTTTGGGTCGCAGGACGGTGAGCCGAGGACTTCTTTGCACGATCCACGAGTCTCCACTCAACTCCGGGGCGATCCTTTTCCGGTTTGCGGTGAGACCTTTTCGAGAATTCCCTTCAACCAACTTTGTCCTCGAAATAAAAAGTCATTACGCAATAAATCTGAGCGTAAAACCGAGGCAAAGGTGTATAGTTTTTGAGCTCAAGTGAAAGTGTTCAGTGAAGAGGTTCGAAGGTTTCTAACGAATTCCTCTTGACCAGCTGTTGATTGGCTTTACTAGAACATTCCTGCTGACGCTGCTTTCGAGACAATCTTCTTCGATCCCGGTGAAAACGTGCTAAGCATTCGTCGGTTGTATGGCGAAAAGCATCGGTAACAATTAAAGAAACCTCAACTGTTCATCCATAAATGCTGGATATATACTTTCTATCCATATCTATCTTAACACTATCCATCTAGGCTGTTTAAGGGGGTATGAAATGATTGGGTGAATTCAAGTTATAGGTTAAACTCAAGCGTGTAGGTATATCTGTGAAGTGTTTGGGTGTTTATGTACCTTCATGTGTTCGTATATGCCCGACCTTCGAATCTTTTCTTCAGACTCTTTCGCTTGAAGGGTAGGCAAACTTAACACTTATGAAACAAGTGAGTTCCCGAAACCCAAATTTCTTTTGCATAAATATGTATAGGTCTAGAAATCAGTGGTCTCCGAACAGGAGGCCGGCCAGAATGCCATAAAACCGAGTGTCTTGCAGGCGGAAGCTTAGGAAGTAAATAGAAAAATGAGCAACAAGTATAGGCGATCAAACAAAGCGAAGCCTCGAATCTAAAAAACAGGGCTCGGGTTGGGGCTGTCACTTATCCGCCGAATCGTGGGCATTGCGTGCACACAACGCGAGTGAGGCCACACATACAAACACGCGTAAGCAGTACAGACTCGAAGTGTAGTTTAAGTAGTCAGGGAAGTAGTTGTGGTCGCATCTACATTATTTTGACTATTCTGCAAAGATCTAAGGTAGGCATAGAGTAGCCAAAGATGGTGTAATTTGATACATACTTTGTTCGGTTTCGTGATTTGGTGATTTTTTCCTCAAATCTTCTTTCTCTGACTGTCGTGGCGTGAGAGGAAGTTCAGCCCAGATTTATCGCCTTCTCTAGTCGGTGCGTAGAGGACTTGTTCGCACACACTCACAACCACAGTGGGTTTCTCATGAGGCCAACTTATGAGTCCGATGCGAACAACACGAGCCCATTGGAGGAATCTTCAACACCAGACGAGGGCGGGGTTGACGAGAGACCGCAGGGGAGGTTAGGCAAAGTCAGTCTGAAACAAGCCGTGGGCAATCGTCTGCCGTCTTCTGGAGAAGATGAACGACATGATCATTTCCTTTCACGAACTTCGACAGCGCAAAACCGGCCTTCTAACAGTGATTGACCCTTCCACGCCACGACGGCCCAACGGACAGATTGCAAGTGCGAGTGGGA